CCATGGTGCAGCACAGCTGGCTGCTGCAGGAACCCGCTGAGCGGCATTCCGCCCTAAGCCGCAGGGACAGGGACAGCGACAGGGACGGCTGGCAGAGCCCCTGCCCTCTGCCACCACTGCTCCCACTGCCACCTTCAGCTCCCCATGGCCAGGCCATCCGGAGCCTGCAGTGCTCTGGACAGGGATGAGTGGGATGTGGAAGAGCCTTTGCTTTTGGGAAGAATGGGGACAGATGGAGAGAAAAGAATTTCATAAACCCTCACAGGCTTGGGGTGCTGCTGCCAGAACAGGTCAATCCCAGGAGCAGAGCCTCTCAGGAGTGGAGTGGTGGATAATTGTGCTGTCATTCTGTGATGCACCGTGTGTCCAGCACAGGCACCTTGTGTTGGCGGTGATCAAGTGGCTGCAGACTGGCTGGTGCAGCCTGAGCAGGCAGCCCTGGCTCAGCCCGGGGTGAGGTGAGGCCACTGGGGCTGGCTGGGCTGGGTGGACGAGCACATGTGGGCACAAGGGCAGCACTGGGTGGGCACCCCTGGGAGTCTGGTGGAGCTGAGGGCTGTTGCCAGCGCTGCCCTCTGGAGCAGTGTGGCACTGAGACCCCAGCGCAGCATGGGGCATCAGCAGAGGCTGTGAGCAGCAGGGAGAGCCGGGACCGGTGCTGCCCACAGCCAGAGTGGCACAGCAGGGCAGTCCAGTTTGGATGGGAATGCCCAGCCCTGCGATGGCATTACGGCGTGTGCCTGCGGAGGCGTAGGCTCCCGGCGAGGACTCTGCACGTCCCGGTCAGTCCTGTTCGCAGGGAGATGCCAGCGCCGGGATTAGTGCTGGGGCCGTGTCATGGCATGTCACTGCGGACCGAGCTGCAGCCGCGGGTCAGGCTGACTCATGCTGCCTGAACTGCTCCGGGGCTGCCACAGCTCCACGGCCACGGCGCGGGATGCTCTGACTGCTGGAAAATTCTTCCAAAGTGTGGAGCACAGACCAGGCTGGTGGGGACGGCTCGGACTGGGTGTCTGGTGTGAGGAACTGCCCCGGGGCGGCCCAGCTCTGGCTGCTGGCAGTTCCAGCGCTGGCTCATCCTGCCCTGAAGGCGAAGGGGTGAAACTAAACTATTCACGATCTCCAGCTCTGTTTGGTCTCCTCAGAGTTGGGTGTGAGCACAGGAAGAGGCTCAGAGCCTGGATTTTCCATAGGCATGTGCTGGAGATGCCTTTTCCCAACCCAACCCCATTTATATTAATGAGGCATTTAACTTCCAAACCTGTTTGTGGACCACTGGATGTCACCTCTCTGGAAGGGGCCTGGGCAATGTTTAACCCTGTTGGTGCTGCCTGGCTGAGTGTGCTGGGAGCAGCTTTGGGCAGCTGCCCCTTCACTCTGCTCTGGGGGAAGCTGGGGTCACCCCTCCAGGCTGGCATCCCCACACTGACAGATTCCTACCATCCAGCAAACCTTCTCTGTGCAGCTGGATTTTCCTCCTCCTCAGCTGTTTTACCCCGTACAGCTCCTCCACCACCTCCGACTCTCTCCCCTCTGGCATTGGCTGGTGCGGGGGCTGCGGGGGAGGGGTTTGCCCCCTGCTCCGAGGGCTGGCCCCGGCATGCCAGCAGCCTTTCCTGTGAGTCACCAGCACCTGCTGCTGCAGGTTTGTTTTGACATCTCTCCCTAGCTTTGCCTGCAATGCTGCCTGCACCTTCACTGTGTTCTCGGGTACCACAGCCACTCCCTGGCAGCCTCGTGGTGCTGTGAAGCTGAAGCTGTGGCTCTGTGGGGTTGGGGCCATCATCATCCTCATCCAAGAGCACGGGAACTCTGGCTGCATGGGTTTCCCAGGGCCAGGAGGAGAGTGGGGGCTGCTGGCAAGTAGGGGTCTGTCTGCTCTTGGGCCCTGACTGGAGCTGTCTGGGCTCCCACCACTTGTCATGAATCTCCTGGGAACACTGTCCCCATGGCAAGAGACCAGGCTTGCCACTTGACCCTGGAACTGCAGATATGGAGGACAGGCTGTTGCTGAATCATGGATTTTACAGGATGTTGTTCCCAAAAACTCTGAGCTGAGATTCTCAAATGATGTGGGTTTATGGTGTTTAGTGTGTGCCAGTCCTGAATTCTCAGCCTGCCCTGGATGATTTTCTGTGTTAAAGGTGACCCAGGAGTTCAGCACAGTTCAGTGTATAATGCACATTGAAGTTTGTAGCTCTGTGTCTCTCTGTCTCCTGAGGATTATTCAGACATGGAAAAAAGGTGCTGCACCTGTCCTGAGGGAAACTGCAAACAGCACCTGCAGAAGACCTGTGCTTTTCAGAGAATCTAAAGCCAGTGTTCATCCCAAAAAGTGCCTGTCAGGGCACATGTCCCAGGGTTATCAGTGGGAGAGCCCTGACATTCCCACTGCTGGGAACACTGCAGGTCAGCAGCCTTGTTCTCCATCAAAGGATATTTTCTTTACTGGAACTGCAGTTCTCAGTATAAAGTGTGGCCAGTCCCTCCAGCTGCTTTTGTGCAGGGCTGGCACCATTCTGTTTATTTTCCAAGGCTTTTGTTTTGCTCTGGGGAGGCTTTAGAAACACAAACCCCTCACCCATCCTGAACTGTGCCAGTTGCTGGTGCCTTCCCTGGCCACAGAGCCAGATGCAGGGCGATGCTGCAGGCAGCAGCTGCAGGGGATTCTCTCCTTCTGGGGTCCGATTGCATGGTCAGCACCTGCTGATTTAACCCAGCTCTGGAGGCTGGAGGGTTGCTGGCAGTGGGCAGAGGTGCTTGAGTGGTGTGAGAGGACGGGGACACCCAGTGAGCAGCTCAGCAATGGGAAAGGAGCTGTACCAGCAGCAAGCTGAGCTCTGGCAGCCTCTCCTTGGTGCTGCCTGCACCAGTTGTGAACAAACCTTGTGGAGAGCTGTGGTCTCTTGGGTGCTGCTGCACACACAGGTGTGGATGTGGAATGGAGGAACTGTGGTATATCCCATTTTGTGATGTTTGCTGGGTTTCCTGAGGAGGTGACTCCCTCCCTCCCACCACCATATGCCCCTTGCAGGCTGTGCTCTGTGAGTTGGAGTCACAGCTGACCCATTGGGAGGAAGATCCTCAGTCAGATGTAACTGAGCCAAAACAGCTCCTGTGTCAGCAACACCAAGCTGGCAAAGAAGGAGTTTGTGGTCAGATGTTCCCTATCTCTGGACTTTGCTGTTATTTCCACCACTGCTGTAGTGGAGACAGCTCATGCCTGCAGCACTGAGTGGGGAATGGCACTGAAGTGTGTGGGGCTCCCTGGCCTGCTCTGCTCTCCTCTAGGTCTGTCCTGCCACTGTTGCCCATGGGGCAAAGCCTGTGTGATGTGTTGGTGTTTGATGATGTTAGAGGTGATGGGGATGAGCCAGGTTTACCCTGAGCTCCTTGCTGAGCTCTCAACAGGGACTCTGAGGTCCTGTGGTCTCTAAGGGACTGCCCAGGAGTAGAGCTGCCTGGGGCCACCTGAGGTTCCAACATTTTTGGTCCCTCATGGTTGACTCTGCTTTCTGAAGGGCATTTTTGCTGTTGCTCCCATTTGCACCTTACCTGCTCCTGAGATGGGTCCAGCAGCATCCCCCACCTCATCTCTACAGAGGGCACCTGGCTGGGGGCTCAGACCTGCTGAGAACCCACAGCCTCAGGGCAGATAGGCAGGTGCCATCAGCTTGTGGGATGCCTGCATGGAAATAACTCATATAGTGCTGATTTGAAAACAAGAAAAGACAAAGCAATTACTCAAAAATAAATCTTTATTTTTTCAGTTTATCATCTATTTAAATAATCCCATTAAAACAGGTATTATTGCACATTAAAGAACCTTTCTGGATTCTTGCTGCCCTATATAAAATAAGCTCATAGAAAAGGAAAGGAAAGGAGTCTGGTGCAGGACTGGCATCTGGGGAAGGGCACTGCAGCAGTCCCTGGCCACCTGTGCACAATGGGTTGGGGCAGTGGGAGCAGCACAGCTCGGAGCACAGGAGGCAAAACACAGGTGCTGGCACTGCACTGGGGATCTGAGTGGGTGTGGGCAAGGTGAATGAGGTACAGGTGGGAAGAGGTTTCCTCTGGCTGCCACTGCAGCCCTGCCTGGCTCCATCACCCCCATGGGCACTGCCAGCTCCAGGGTAGGCAGGTGGGGAACTGGGCAGCTGCAGGAGGAAGTCCTTGCCTGGGGCTGAGCAGGAAGAGAGCAGCCAGCAGCATGAGAGGCTTCTAGGAAGTCACTTAACAAGCTCCTTGGAAGTTATGTTTAAGGGCTGGCTGAGTGATGTGGAATGGAACAAGCTTGCAGAGGATGCACTTCATTACTGCACTCTGAATTGGATTTTGTGCCCTGTCAGATGATTCTTTGGGGATGACTCGGGCTCTCCTGCCCAAGCTGTGTAATAACTTGTTCTACAAGCACATCTCTGGCTGTCCTGGCTTTTCATCTCTGAATAAAGAGCTCCTCAGGCCACTGCTGGAATCAGGTTTCTAATGAAAATTCAAGTGAGAGCTTTCCTTTTATCTGTTTTGTGCTCTTCCCAAGCCTCCATCATGCCCCTTCCTACAAATGCCATGCTGCATTCCTGAAAGCCTGTTTTTTTTCCCAAAAGTCCAGTCACACAGCAGGGAGCAATTAGTGTTAATGCTCAATGTGGCATCAATCTTCTGCTGTGGAATAATTCCTGCCCACATGCAATGGGGTGTGTGCAGCTGGTGTGCTAATGTGTGCCTCTGCCTGGTGAGACAGCCCAGCTCAGTGCCACATCCTGCTCCAGCCATCTCCTGCCATCATTAACTTGAGAACTGATGCTGCTTGACGCTCCTAATGTCTCTGAGCCCTTGGCTTTTATGTCTGAGCTTTGCTCAGGGCAGTTTTGAGTGCCAGTTCAATCCCTGAATAAGGGTCTGACTTGACAGCCCTTCAGTGCTCATTTGTGCCTTTCAGCCCTGGACACGTGGGTCCAGCACCCACCTCTTTGGGCATCTGGGTGGGTGGGTGACAAGTGTCAGTGCTGGCCGAGCTCCAGCGTGTCGGGCAGCTGCTCTGTGAAGGCGTGCCGCAAAGTGCTGTAGTTGGGGGGGGGAGTCCTGGGCAGGGGGCTGTCCTGGGGCAGCGGCAGGCGCAGGGCCGTGTTGAAGGTGGGCAGGTCCTCGTCGATGCAGACAGGGTTGTCGTGGCCATGTCTTTCCACGTCCCTGGCCTGGGGAGGCTTCCCCGACCCGGCA